AAAATACTGTATGAAAAACGCTCAAAAGTATTTGCATATAAAGAAATAAAATTCGATACTAAAATGGCTGAATATAAAGTTCTGCTGGAAGACCAGACAGTAAGGTATAAGAAAATTAATTATTTTTGAGCAAACACGCAATGGAATTCAATCAATAAATACGCTAACAAACCAACTTTGTTTGTTAGCGTACTTATTGATTGAATTCAATTTTATTTTTAACTTCCCGTAGGGTAAGTTATTGTAATCGTCCAAAAATCGAAATCGAAAATTTTTACATTTCTCGACGTTTTGAAGGTTTCTGAACATTTTGGCATACCTCAGAAAAAATGGATGTGTGTGTGTGTGTGTGTGTGTGTGTGTGTGTTTTGTATGTCCGCGTTTTTTCGTCCACGTTTTCGGGAGCACGGATCAACCGATTTGAATGGTTTGAAAAACATTCGATTCCTATTGATAGGGAGATGTGCTGATTAGTTTTTGGCAAAGGCAGGTCCAGCCGTTACGGAGATATGGAGCAAAGAGTGCAGAAAATAGAAAGCGAGTTTTTGAGAGAACGTATCAACCGATTTGAATGGTTTGAAAAACATTCGATTCCTATTGATAGGGAGATGTGCTGATTAGTTTTTGGCAAAGGTAGGCCCAGCGGTTTCGGAGATACAGAGCTAAATGTTAAAAAAATTGCAGTTTTTGAGAGAACTAAGCGTCCGATTCAAATGATTCAAAGAATTTCTGCTTGTTTCAACAAAATAATTGATTTTGGAAAAAAAAAATTTTGTTTCTAATTTTTTTTCAAAAAATTTTTTTTATAATTTTGGATTAAAAATTCAAAAAATCACCCAGGCTAAGCACAGTCTAAGCGCCACTCTGGTACAAATGTTTACGCAAGTGCGTTTAGACTGTTTATGTAGGAGCAATTTTCCAATTTTGTGAGAAACTATTGAAAAATGTGAAAATGCCGCCAAGCTAAGCACAGTAAAAGTGAAAATGTCGCACAGAATTATTTGCAAATGCGTTTAGACTGTGACTATGCGGGAGCACTTTTTTAACTTCCCGTAGGGTAAGTTATAGTAATCGCAAAAAAATCAAAAATGAAAATTTTTATATATCTTTACGTTTCAGAGGTTTCTGAATATTTTGGCATACCTTAGAAAAAATGGATGTATGTGTGTGTGTGTGTGTGTGTGTGTGTATGTATGTATGTATGTATGTATGTATGTATGTACGTGTGTGTATGTATGTGCGGATACAAATTTTCGTCGACGATTTCGGGAACACGGATCAACCGATTTGAATAATTCAAAAAACATTCAATTCGTATTGATAAGGAGACGTGCTGATTAGTTTTTGGAGAAGGCAGGTCTAGCCGTTCCGAAGATACGGGGCAAAAAGTGCCGAAAACGGTAACTCAGTTTTTAAGAGAACGGAGCGTTCGATTTGAATAATTCAAAAAACATGTCACTTGTATTGACAAGATGAAGAATCGATAAAATTTTCATGATGGTAGGTCTAGCGGTTTCGGAGATATGGAGGAAAAAGTAAAAAAATGAGCCATTTGGCGGTCAAAAATGATCATTAGACATATGCACATCAAATTATCAGATATTTTATAGAGATTTTAACAATAAGTATACATTTTGTTAACATTCCTATGGGTTCCGTACCAATGCTTATGCGTTAGACAGCGACGCGGCGCTTACGCGCTTTATATTTTGTCCCTATGCAGTTAAAGCAGTACGATTGCTTTGAAAAAAAGTTCAGATCTTCTACAATATGTCAAAATAAAGAAAAAAATTTTTTTCAAAAAAAAAAAAAATTAAAAAAAAAATTTTTTTTTAAAAAATTTTTTTTTCAAAAAAAAGTAATTTTTTGTCCAATTTATAGTTTCTCAAAAATCTTATTTTTTCAAAGTAATTTTTTTTTCAAAAATGTTAATCGTTTTTAAAAAAATAATAATTTTTGGTACAGGAAGTTCCAGCAATTTGCCTTAAGGCACGATGCCTTAATTGCCTTAAGACAGAATTCCACTTACAGCTAGTCAGTTTTGTGTAAATTTGGCAACTATTTTTTTTTTTTGAAATTGAATTTGAAATGAAATGACGATTGTTAATGTTCTGGAGATGATAAATTGATTTATTTATAATTAACTTTCCATAGGGTAAGTTATAGTAATCGCAAAAAATTCGAAAATGAAAATTTTTATATATCTTTACATTTCAAAGGTTTCTGAATATGCGTACCTTAGAGAAAATTGATGTATGTGTGTGTGTATGTGTGTGTGTGTGTGCGTGAATGTATGTGTGTTCGGATACAAATTTTCATCGACGATTTCGGGAACACGGATGAAGCGAATTGAATAATTCAAAAAACATTGGATTCGTATTGATAAGGATTCGTGCTGATTAGTTTTTGGCGGAGACAGCTTTAGCCGTTCTAGGGCAAAAAGTGCCAAAAACGGTAACTCAGTTTTTAAGAGAACGGAGCGTCCGATTTGAATAATTCAAAAAACATTTTACTTGTGTGAACAAGATGAACACTTATCAAATTTTCATGAAGATAGGTCTAGCGGTTTCGGAGATCTAGTAAAAAAAATTAAAAAAAATACCATTTGGCGGTCAACAATAATCATTAGACATATGCATATCAAATTATCAGATGTTTTATAGAGATTTTATTTTAACAATAAGTATAAGATGTGTTAACATTCCTATGGGTTTCGTACCAGTGTTTATCCGTTAGACGACGACGCGGCGCTTACGCGCTTCGATATTTAGTCACTATGCATTTAAAGCAGTACGATTGCTTTGAAAAAAAGTTCAAAATTTCCAAAATATTTCAAAATAAATTTTTCAACAAAAAGTAAGTTTTCGTCAAAAATTTATAGTTTCTCAAAAATATATTTTTTCAGAGTAATTTTTTTTCAAAAATGTTAATCTTTTTAAAAAAAAATAATTTTTCGTACGGGAAGTTCCAGCAATTTGCCTTAAGGCACGATGCCATGCGCCCCACTAGTTGAAATTTTGATTTAATTGGAAAGGAACATAATTATCATGGTTACAAGAAAAAAAAGTTATAGGTAATTTAAGGATATAATTTTTAGGTAAATTAAGGGCACAATTTTTTGTTATAAAAAATATTAAATTAATTAAAGTCAATTATTAATAAATATTAATAACAATTATATGAGAAAATACAATAAACAGAGTGCTTGCTGAAATGTATAATTCATTAATTTTTGTGTTGGTTTAACAATTTAGAATGCATTGTCAAGTTCACTGTTTTTCAATTGTTTTACTCACCGCCATGATGTTTAAAGATTTTTTATTAAAATTCGTTATTTTAAATTAATAATAAATAGTTCAATTCGAATTATGTAATGATAATTTTTGTTTATTTGGTAGCACTACGTTTTATGGAGATTTTCCATTATTTACTAATGCCAAACTTCATTGCTATAGTTTCAAAATATTTCTTAAAGTTGTGATTTTGCATTTTCAAAAGTAATTTATGATTAGTCATGTTGTTCAAAAGTATATCTTATATTGAATTATTCTCTCTGCCATCTGTGTTAGATAATGAATAGATGCGAAACTTTCTGTTTAATGGATGGAGGTTTTATTGTGCTCTCGTTTTTTATTACACAAATTAGTTTCATATCGATGAGTAATACTTTATTGCACATGAATCTAAAATAACATTGTACGTTTTTTTTATGTTGTAGGTCATTAGAATTGACTAAGAAAGTCGAAGATTTAACTAAGGAATTGGCAGAAAAGGAATCAACACTAACAGACTTAGGAAGTCAACTTGAATCATCCAAAGCAGAAGCAAGACATTATCAACAAGAATTGTCAGTGATAAATAAGGTATTTTGAAGGAATTCATACTACATGTCTTATGAAATCAGTCTTCCCTATAAAACAACGTATATACATATATCTGTGATATGAGGGAGTAGGGACAAATGAATAATGGTCTAAGCATGTTTGTATGGTACAGAGAACGCTTTATATGGTTTTAGGAAACTAATATAGTATATTTATTCAGTGTAGTTCTTTGTTACGCACATAGTCCAAAATTCGACTTAAAAGCGAATTAATTTCGAATCACTGGGTCGAATAATTTATCTTTGGCGACGTCACAATCGTCGATTTTCTAGGATTTTAGGTCAGACTTTTCTCAACCAGCTAACGACTTGACGGCTGCTCGAAAACGGCTCGACCATGAAATAAATAGGTCATTCAAGTTGTAAGACTGGTTGACAGTCGACTCCGCGTAGTACACCACGGTCAAAGTTAACGATTCATTGTAGATTTTGTTAAATAATTTATATATTTATTCATGATTTTCATTGATATTTATCTTTTAAATCTTAGCGTAAAAAATAAATCATTTTGAATGCAAATCCAAAGTTGCTATTGGCCGTCAAGAGCGTCTGAGTTCTAGATCTTTTCGAAAGATTAATGGTTGTGTAGTGTGGAATATTAAATATTAAACTAGTGGTGCATGGCATCGTGCCTTAAGGCAACTTGCTGGAACTCCATACTTTAACATTTTCGAAAGCTTTACAATTTTTTGAAAACTTTGATAAAATTTGATTTTTGAGAATTTTGAAATTTTTGAAAAAGCTGGCCTTTTTGGGAAAATTTGTTTTTTTTTTTAAATATTTCAAAATTATTTGAAAATTTGAATGTATTATCAAAGCAATCGCGCTGCATAGCTAGCCGTTTTAGAGATAAAATATCGAAGCGCGTGAGCGCCGTTGTCTAACGGTTAACATTATAAATCTTGGTACGGAAATTATTGAAATGCAAACTAAATTTGTACTTAATATTCAAATCTTTATAAAATATCTGATAATTTTATGTGATAAATATCTGATAATTTTTTATGATATTTTTTGGCTTCCAAATAGCATTATTTTTGTTGTATTCCGAAACCGCTAGACCTGCTTTAGTAAAAATATATTTTGACACATTCAAATTGGTTGATCCGTGTTCTTAAAATCGTCTACGAAAAATTGTATCCGCATTCGCATATGACACGCACACATACATTCATTTTTCTAAAGTATGCTAAAATGTTTAGAAAACTTTGAAACGTAAAGATATGCAAAAATTTTCATTGTTGATTTTTCTGCAATTACTATAACTTACCCTATGGGAAGTCAAAAATGACTATATATTTTTGTATATTATAAGGACAGTTTTCATAAAAGCAAATTTTTTGAATAACCAGTTAAATGTGATTAACTAGTATACTAGTCATAGAAAAGTGGTAAATTTTGGTATATCAACGAGTATATTTATGATGCGTTTAAATAAGTGACCACTTGCTTTATAAATTAAAATTTTCGAGGAAAACCAAATATATTCTCAAATTTCAAGATGTTTAGAATATTTCAAAGGTATTTCAGAATGAAACAAAGAAAAAATATAAACAGTTTGAGATCATTGCTCTGGTTGAAAAAAATTACCAGAGAATTCTATTTTTTATTCTGACAACAAAAACTGTGTGCGCTTTTAAATGTAGGCGTAATTTTGCCATTATTCATCATCGCACATTATAGTGCGAATTGTATACAAAAGATTAAGTGCCCATATTTAGTCACAGGTACACTATCCTACTAAGTGATTTACATAAGGCATTTTCTGCAAAACTTTTAATCATGATTATCATCTTCTTTGAATTAAACTACATATTACATATTTTTTCAGCTTTTTTCACAAACATTATTAGGAGCTAGCAAAAAAGATGCAATGGACATCGATCAACTTGCTGTTTTACTTGAGCAAAACCATGACTTGCTCAGAGATATGGCTGTGAACGAAACGGAAGAGATGAGCGCGATGCCGCGCACACTTCTCGATTTGGTTCGTATTTTTTGATAATAATTACATTTATATTCATACCACGAATTATATGTAATAATCATAATTATTAATTTATTATATTTATCAATAGTTTATTAAATAGTATTTGTTTATAACATAATTAGAACATATCAAAGCATTAGTAAGCGCCCGGCATTGTAATCACAAAGTCGCTGGTTCAAATTCGCGTTTCGCCAACCTCTTCTGGCAGTAGTAATATTCAATTTTACTGAAAATATAGATCATAGCATGTTTCCATTACTGCAAAAAATTTTAAATGTTATACTAATAGATAATGTAAGATCAATGGGTTTCCGATTGTAAAACATATCAAATAACACCACAACACATTGATTTCTAACAGTTCTGATTACTATAAAAAATAGCTTATAGAAATTATTTCAGTACATTATCGTAAATGTTCTATTCCACATTCTAGTTTAGATTCGGTGTAATTAATTTAATAATTGTAAAACATTATTTTAGTGAATATATTGAATTTAATGCCAAGTTTTCTGCATAAAAGTTTATTGAATTCCTTTACAATTTACAATATATATTTCAAGTAATATGAATTCAATGTTATTTTCAAGTCTATCTATTATATTTTGAATTCAATTCATATTAGTTAAAGATGCTATTTTTTAATAATATAGATAAACCAAGTACAAAAAAGTACGGAAAATCGAACTGAATCCTGTAGCGATTCTGAAGTGTCACAATCTAATACCGAGAATTTACCTGCAAATGATGATGAGAGTTGCGCTGGTGACAATACTGATATGTCTTCAGAATCATCTGAATCTGATACATTGACAGGTGGGGAAACAAATCACTATGATCATTTAATATATTTGGATATAATATTTTTCTCAAAAATTACTGCGTTTTTAAAACTTTGGTGTGTGTAAATGAAATAATTGATATTTTAATTTAAAATACTTGCAAAATTATTTAATATTTATTCAATTCAAGTGTTTATATAGATCAATATTAGATTTTAATTTTACAGTAAATTCAGCTGAAGAGATAGTTTCAAAACTCCAAACTGTATGGAGAGTTCTAAGAGAATTACTTAGTCACCAAAGTGAATGTCCGAAGACTCAGGACGTTCCAGAAGTTGAACAAAATGATGGAATGGTTCCAAAGAATAGGGGCAGTGCTTGCTATAAGTCTATTCAAACTCCAACTGGCCCTAGATTAGTGCTCAGCGTTAGCAAAACTTACATTAGATTGAAGGTAATTTATTGACTCAACAAATTATATTTAAATTCATATTTATTTGTGTTCAAATGCACTTTTTTATTCTGAAAAGTCTTTTTATTCTGAATAAATAGTGGATCGCAAACGTGTTTTTGCAATTTATTTCTCTTTCTAACCATCTGATTTTTTAATTTTTTTTTAATTGTTTTAGGATCTAATAATAGAGAAAAAGGCTCTGCTAATCTGATGCTGATTTTTGAATTCTTTTTTAATTGTTTCAGGATCTAATAATAGAGAAAAAGGCTTTGCAAAGAGAATTGGCACGCCTAAAACAGTTGAATAGCCATTTAGAAGCTCGTTTCGGTTCTCAACAAAGGCGATTAGGAAATGTTTCATCCGAACTCTCACAAACATGGTGTTTGGCTGGACGAATGCAAAAATCTTACAAAACTCTGCACAGTCATGAGCAAATATTGAGGTAATTACGCTAACAGTTATTATTGAACTTCTTATAAATTCAAGGAGACTTTTGAACAAATTTAAATTTATTTTACTTCATTATTTTAATTCATTATCAACTTCCCGTAGGGTAAATTATAGTGAATTGAATATTTTTGCACTTTACGTTTTGAGCGTTTTACGTCACAAATATGTTGGCATACCTTAGAAAAATTGTATGTGTGTGTATATCTATGTTCGTGTATAATGTGTGCGTATGTGCGGATACAAAATCTCTTGAGAGCATGAATTGACCGATTTGAATTATTCAAAAAATATGTGATTTATATTGATGGGAAATCGTGCTGATTAGGTTTTGGCAAGAGCAAAAAATGGCAAAAAACAAAATTGATGATTCAAAAAACATTTTATTTGTATTGACGCTTTGTAAAATATTTTTGAGAAAGCACCAGGTCCAGCGGTTTTTGAGATAAAATTTGGATTTTTTATTAATAAAGTGCCTTTTGGGAGCCAAAAATGATTTTTAGACATACAATGTATGTAATGATAATTAGACATAATAATATGTACATCAAATTATCAGATATTTTATAGAGATTTTAATAATAAGTACAAATTTTGTTTTCATTTCATTGGGATTCGTACTTTAACTTTGAACTTTATGAATCAAAATTTGGAATTTTTGACAGTACGGATCAACCGACGCTTTAAAAAAATTTAAAATTTTGAAACGTTGATTTTTTTTAAAAATATGAATGATTTTAAAAAAATCTTTATATTTTTTTTCAAATAATTTAAAAGCTTTAAATAATATACAAAATTGAATAGTGAGACTGATACATTTTCACCATTATATAACGCAATAGAAGTACAATCATTTTTGTGCATATAAAATACTTACATAAAATTTTATGCTTAAATATTCAAATAATATTTTAAATTAGTAGTAGTTTTGTGTAATAATAGTGGATATATGAAATACATTTGACCACTGTTTTATTTTCAAATGCTAGACATTTGACAACATTTAAAACTTCATTTTTTCAGAATATTGGGGCATTGAAATAAGCAACATTTTCTTTTTCTAAAACTTTTTTTTATGATATTTATAGATACGAACTTCAACAAAAACGCAAAATGTTAAATGAACTTAAGCAAGAACTACAATTATGCAGAGAAAAGTGGCAGCAAGCAAAAGAGAAAAATTGTGAGAGTGAAGTTGAATGGAAGCGTCTTAGATCAGAATTCGCCAGCAGGTATAAAAAATTAGAAGTTTGTTCATAAAAAGGTTTAATATATATATATATATATATATATATATATATATATTATATATATATACCAAATACTAATTCTCATGATTATGAGAAATTAACTGATGCCTTGCATGCTTTTAACTGCATGTAATTATTTTCGTAGGTATGTAAGAAGCCAAGATAATAAAAATAGATCACAGCACATAAATTTGTATACGAGGTGTGTTCAAAAAGTACCCGGAATTACTAATAATTAAATTTCGCGGGTCTGGAGTGTCTGATTGTCAAATTTTTTTTTTATTGTGTTGGTATACATGCCCCTAAAGTATGATGAAATTTTCAGCTATATTCACTGTTTACTTTGTCTGTGGTAGTCGCTAAGGTTCGACGTGTTTTTCTGAGCTCGGCGATTTTTACAATGGAAGAATTGAAAAGTCAAAGAATTTGTATTAAATTTTGCGTAAAAAATGAAATAAAGTGTTGCAAAGTGCAAAAATTCACCAGATATGGCTCCGTGTGACTTTTTCCTATTCCCAAAGTTGAAGAGACCCATGAAAGGACGGCGGTTTTCCTCGATTGAAGAAAATCGCTGAGAGTGCTCAAGGACATATCAAAAAGTGAATATCAAGGGTGCTTCAAAAATTGGAAAAAACGCTGGCATAAGTGTATTATATCTGGGGGGGACTACTTTGAAGGGGACCACATTAATGTAGACGAATAAATAAATATTTTTTTGAAAAAACGAAAATTCCGGGTACTTTTTGAACAGACCTCGTATATTAAATTACAGTTCATGCTACATCAGATAAATTTTTGCATAGTTTAATCTTTTCATTTTACCCAATATATTTTTTGAAATAACTTTGTTTAGAGAGATCTATTTAGTATTACTATAGACTCAATAGTATTCCGCTATATCGGAAAACATTTATTTGCAATTCTTTTTGTTAGGGATTTGAAGTAAAACAACATTTTAACTGTGACAATCGAACTTAAGTTAGATGAATTGTTTTATTCGCAGTTTACAATTTTATATTCTTTTTTCAGCTCACAATATTAATTCGTCGCAGCATTGCAAAACTAACCTATATTTAATATAAGTAGCTTAAAAATACAATAACCAAAAATCTGATTTTCAGAAAAAAATTGGATCTGGCTGATGGTTGCGGATCCGCTGAGAGCGGATATAGTGACGAACGCAGTGATGAAAGCGATTGCGAGACTAAAAATTTAGCTAATGATTGTACTGATAATTTAGATAATGATGTTGAACATGTAGGTAGTTCGAATGATATTGTAGAAGAAGATGAGCACGTACTGAGTCACAATAATGATGTAGTAGAAGACGAAATTGTGAATGTAATAAATTCGATTGAAATAGAAGAACTCTCTGGTAATGACATTAATGAAATAGACGGCGTGGAAGTAGAAGACGAGACTGATATTCATATTAACAAAGAAAACAGTTGTAAATCTGATTTTAACACAACGCAAATTGGAGATGGCTCAAATAATGTGACAGTCGTTGACAATCCAGATAAAGAAGGAGCAGATAGCACACTTGAACTTGAAGCGCAATCGTGTTCAAGTTCTGGATCTTTTAATAAAATCTCTAATATTGATAATGATGAAAAATCTCAGAATTTAGACAAATTGAACACATGCAAAGACGATAAAGTTGATGCGTGTTCAGAACCATCTACATCGTCGAGTTTTAATGTTAGTTTATTGAATCAACCTGTAGCATCTAATTCTCAAACAAATCCGACTACTACGAGACCAGAACAAACCGCTGCAGAGAAACTATTAGCACGTGATGAAAGACTAAGAAAAATGGAAGAGCAATGTAAACAGCTTGTGAACAAAGTAACTAAGACATCTCACAGGAGCAAAGAACTATGTTGTAGATTGGAAGAACTACACGAGCAATATGGAAGAGATGATCAAACCCGAGGTGAAACAGAATGCGAACCAGCTGTTACCAAAGAAAAAGAGCATTCGGAAGACGAGGAATAGGATCATAAAATATAGTTAGTCTACTAATTTAAGAAAATTAAAGAGTTAAAATATCAATAACGGAATATTTTAAAGACAAACTAAAAAATATATAATAATGGTCTCATGGAGAAAATACCAAAAATGTAGTCTCTAGATTACGTAATATGTTGTTAGCTAAGTTTAAAATTGATATTGTGTTTGAGTTTCGAACAAGCATGAAAATTTTTATTATTAGAAATCCCTACTGGTACGAATTCCTTGTTTTGTCTCATAGTCTTTCGTCGAGTGTTCATTATGTTTCGTTGCGCCTTTAGCAAAGTTTTTGTTTTCTCTAGGATTTTACCAAACCTTATTTTTCTTTAATTGATATTATCGAGACTAGCACGATCACGGTCCCTAAGTTTGTTGGCGAGTTTTCGTCATTAACTGTTATGGCATGTTGTAGTTTATACATACGTTTTATAAAATAGAAACAAAGGTTATTATATATATATATATATATATATATATATATATATATATCTGAACTGATTTATTTAATAGTATATTACCCCTCTACTTGCTTATTGAATGCCCTTATTTTATTTATACGAAAATTTTAAGCTTATAGATCAAAGTCTTGTTCTTATTATTTATTTTATATTTATTATTTAATTTAGTACTTTTATGACTTCTTACATAATCAGTTCATAAAGTAATTGTAAACGTAAGTACAAACATATTTTTATATAAACGTATTTTTATATCATAGTTTATAAAATTTTATAACTTTATTTATATTTAATAAACAATACTTGCAAAATCATTCAGATAATATTTGATTATCTTTTTAGCAAACAAAGAATTGTTTGGCACTATAAATTTTCGGACAAAATTCTTTTATGTTGTCCAAGCATCCATCTGAATCCTTCGAGCTGAAAGTCTATCTCATGTTGGTTCATCCTTGTTTTGTTAGTATTTTTAATATCCATTAGATAAAAATAATAGATAATTAAAATCACATGAAACTGTACAAAAAAGGAATTTGAAAACGCTTAATGTGTGTTAGAAGTTAAAATTAATTAAATAATGTTAAATTTTTACAATTGAATGGTATTTCAAGAATGAGGAACAATGATTTGCATATAATATGCAAATGAACATTATATAAATGGAGAAGTATTATCAGCATTAAAAAAAGAACGCGATGTTCAATAGGAAGACATTTGGTAAATCTGGGTTGAAAAATTTTGTTGCATTCTTCTTATTACACGGATTTAATAATTTTAATAAAATGTCAGGTCTTAAAACACGTCGTTCTTGGTATGAACTGATATTATAGTTTCTTAGACTTATCGGCTAACATCTATATGAAGTAATTAAAAATTACAAATTTATTACGTATTTTAAAAAATCTGAACTTATCCTGAGAATAACGAAGCCAAGAATTCTGACCGAAGAACCTTTTACTTGAGTAAAAGCAATATAAAGGAAAACTAATGGTGTACGAGATGGCATCGTGTCTTAAGGCAAATTGCTTGAACTTCCCGTACCGTAACGAAATGTTCGAGAAATATTAAATGTTTTCAAATAGATTATATAAATTAAATACTGTATCATTGTCTAATATTTATAAGAGTTATATAAACTGATTTGCAAAGTTGAAATTATTTGTTTAAAGTATATTAGAACAGAATTAAAATTAAAATCTGAATTATTTTCGATATACAAAAAAAAATTGAAAAAAAAAATGAAACAGAAAACTTTTTATTCCAAAAGCATTTATTTTGTTGAAACAAGCAGAAATTTCTTTGAATCATTCAAATCGGACGCATAGTTCTATCAAAAACTACAATTTTTGAAATGGCTGGACCTGCCTTTGCCCAAAACTAATCGCTTCTTCTCCCGATTACTACAAATTTAATTGAGTTTTATTCAAATCAGATACTCCGTTCTCTCAAAAACTCGATTTCTATTTTCTGTACTCTTTGCTCCGTATCTTCGTAACGGCGAAACCTGCCTTTGCCAAAAACTAATCAGCACATCATCCTATCAATAGGAATCGAATGTTTTTTGAATTGTTCAAATCGGTTGATCCGTGCGCCCGAAAACGTGGACGAAAAATGCGGACATACAAAACACACACACACTTCTGAGGTATGCCAAATGTTGAAAAACCTTCAAAACGTAAAGATATGCAAACATTTCTATTTTCGATTTTTGGTCCATTACTATAACTACCCTACGGGAAGTTAATAAATATTCGCAATGGTGAATTCGATTCATGTTTAAAATCCTGCAGCACCAGCACCTGCTTTATTATTATTTAGATAAAATTATTATTATTTCCAAAGACAGAATATGTAAACATTAAATAAACCATTGTCATCCTTAAATGATTCATCGAGTGAAAGAAAAAACAGTGTTTTGTCAAAATGTATGATTTTAATCTTGTGAAGTTATTTAATTGGAACATGCAGCAATTAGCACTTAATTTTCTACCATATCTCTGACCAAGTGAAAATATGAAGATTGAAAATCATTTTATTATTTTCACCAAAATTTCCACACTAAACAAAAACTAAGGCATAGGAACTATTTTATCATCCGAAATTCATTTGATTGAATGCTTTATTACACAGCTAAAGCAATATTATATTGTTACTAATTTAATAAATGATATTATTTTTGTTAAATAAGTAAAACCAAAGAAAATATTTCGTGATAGGACATCACAACATGCCAAAAAAATAAATTGTTTTTTTTTTGTTTTTTTAAATTTTTGTATTCAAAAAAATGTCATCCACTAATAAGGAAGCGTTTTGCCCAGCTTGCAAGGAGAATGTTGAGCCCACAACAAAAGAGATGGTATAATTTCTACAATATTATATTATAGAACAATGTCAATTAAAATGTCATTTTAGTATGTTAGTTTGAATGCATATGATCTTGGTGTAAGAGTGAAAAATTGAAGTTCCATTGAATATATTAATGACATAAATAGATAAAAAATGACATGCTTTATACAACCACAACGTAACGGTATTAGTTTATTTAAAAATAACTTATGTGGCAGTTCTCATTTTATAGAACAATAATTTTTATTTCACTATAGTTATCCACGTAGAAAAGTAAACTTTCTGGTAAACAAAATTTTCTTTCAGAACTCTTGTCTAACCTACTTTATGTGTATGTTGTTGGTTCTGGTTTGTAGTTGTCTCTACCCATTCAAGGTAAAAAACTGCAAAAGGACTATACAAGTACAGTAGAACTCCAATTATCCGAATCACTTTCAGAAAAAAAATTGTCCAAAAAAGTCTAAGTGCTTCCACCAGCAAAGCCAGTGTAGGCACATTGTTTGTTTTGATTTGACGGAGATGTTTACAAAACAATGATTTTTATTTCTAAACTTGTACATAAGTACATTTTATTTATATTTAAAACATGTGAAAATGTCATGTTTCTTTCATTTAATTCAATAAAAAAGTAGTGCAATATCAAAACGTAACTTTTTTTCTCTCCAATGGCAATTTAAAAAAAAACTCCTATTATCCGAATATTTGATTATCCAAATGGGTCCCGGTCCCCATTAATTCGAATAATTGGAATTCTACTGTATGCCCGCAATGTGGCCGGCGCGTCACGCCAATGATGATGGCAAAGTCGGAATCTTAGTAATTAACTAAAAAGCCCAAATATGTATGTATAGCTATTATTATTACACGAATATATACACAATAAATTTTTATGTTAACTGATGCTCATAACGATTATAGTTGTTTGTGGCTAACATATTCACGTACTCGACTAACAAATGCATATTTACCCTTGTGATTACAAATCTCACATAAGTTTTCTTTACTAAATGATATTTCTATTTCTTTTCTGATTTTTATATCGCCTGGCTTTAGAATCACAAGGTTTAAGATCGCGTTTCGGTTTTTTATATCTTTATATACATATACATATATATATATATATATATATATATATATATATATAACATACATAACACCTCAATATGTCCAAGGAAACTTATTGAGTTTGCTTGAATATATTAAAGAATTAGAAAAGGATTTGATGTTTTACATTTTATAGTGGCCGGTTATAATATATCTTAATACTATTAAATTAATAATTAGATATCACTTTGTTAAATTTATAATTAAGTAGTTACAATATATCTTACGTACTTTATTGAGTGATGTTACATGTCATTTAGAAAAAACGACAGATGCATATTAATTACTGAACGATTTTTCTTATTTCTCTGATATTATCTCTTTAATAAAACACTTAATGGTTATCAAATCTAAAAAAAATATATCCACCTTTATCAAAAAATCACATATTTTGTAATTTCATTACTTTTTCATAGGACTGTATTGAAATTGAAATTATTGAAAAAAAAACCTGAAATGTTTAATATCTTCTTTTTAACATCACCTGATTAATTTGGTATATCTTAGAAAAAATAAATGCATGTCACATATGTACGGAATTACCATTTTTTTATTTTGAAGGGTTCTAACAATCTCATATTTTAAAGGTAGTCATCCGGTTTTGGGCAAAAAAGGGAAAAAAGTGGAAAAAGTGATCGCTAAACATTAATACCAGGATTTCGCAAAATACATTTTCTAAAATTCCGAGCAATACATCAACTCACCGGCTTCAATGAATTGTGAACTATTAGAAAATGAGTATTCATCATATTTTTCAGATTTCTGCATATAGCAATGCATATTCATTTTTTTTTCAATTTACATAGAAACTGCAAAAAATAATTTTGAGAATAATCTTTTGGCGTTTTTAAATATATTTTAAATTAAAAAATAAAAAATTAAATTTAAAATTTTGACATTTTTAATTATAATTTATATATATATATATATATATATTTATATATATATACATATATATAATTATTTGTAAATTTAAATATTAAGGCCAGATTGAGCTTTTGAAAGCATCAGTCGGTAACCAGTAACCACATTGTAGTGAGCAGGGTCTTGTTGTTTTTCTTAAGGATTTGTGTGATAAGTCTTACCAATTTCATTTTTAACCAGTATTAATAATTTTAGATATTATCAAAAATATTCAACTAAAGCCATTTTTGGGGCTTTCGCGGCAATTTACGCTATTTTTTTAAGTTACTAATGGAAAAATTTGTTTTCGACAGAAGATTCGGCTTGATAATTTTGTTCTCTCGGCGATTCAAGTAATTTTAAGTCGTTTAAGGCCTGAATTGAAATAAAGTATGTGCGATAGCTATGATTGTATATGCAATTAAAATCTTCCGTTTTTTACCATACCATATTCTTTGGACTAAGTGTAGATTTGATTTGATTGAAAATGAAACTGGTGTGCGTTTTCGCAACGCTTATTGTTTTATTTATTTATTTGTTTTTTTT